TTCCCAGTGAGCTGAGGGAGAGCTGATCTGGACACAAGGGTGGGGAGGCAATGGAGGTCTATTGCCACAGTCCTCCATAAAAAGCGGGCAGCAGCAGTTGGCTGCAGTCCCAGATGGGCCAACTAGCCCAGCTTAAAGCACCACCCGGCGCCCAGGTGAGATGGTTTTGTGAGTGGGCGGGGCTAGATTAGTTAATTCTGCAAAGACGACACATCCTGCAGCACTGTCCGGAATGGAGCCAGCACTGACAGCAGCTGTCGCAACATAGCTGCCCTGTTGCAATGCTTAGTGCAGATGGGCAAAGCCAGTTTTAGGACTGGTGCACTTTGCATCTACTTGAAACTCTGGGGTAAGCTCTTCTGGTGCTACCAGCGGCTTTGCTCATTGACAGCTGTGATTGCCGCATGCACTTACACTCCTGGTTGTAGTCAAGGCCAACCACCCAGCCTATGGTCATTTTCCAATGTATGGACATTTGTGCTCATTACATAACTCCTGGTTTTTGCCTGGGGCTACTGGCGGGTATAGATACTGACAGTTCAGCTGCCGGTGGCATTAGGAGCCCACCTACGGCAGCAGCGTTATATCCCTGGCCCACAGAAGCAAGAGGCACCAGGATGAGCAATTGGCATGTCCCATGAAGCTCCATCTAGGAGTAACTAACAGCAAGATCTGGCCTCACCCCAAGACAACACACAAAGGAAAGGCAGGTTGTGACCCCAGTCTGGGGAAAGATGGTGTGAACGTCTTACTTTGCAGATGGTCCCGAAATGTTTGAACCTTAAACTGGGCTGCTTTGCTGTGATTGGTCATTCAGGTCAGATGGTGTCAATGTCATGGGCAACCTTCAATCTGGCATTTCCTAGCTTCCGAGGACTTGACTTGACAACCTTAACATGCTTTTAAAATATGAACCATTGTTCAGCTGGAAGTCTGTCAGCTGTGCCCAATGCGACAATACGACACACAATGCCACAATCATCCGATTTACCCTCTCCTGCTTTGCAGTCATCCCGGGGGTGCCACACAGCATCTGTTTTGCAGATCAGAGAAAAAAAAACTGCATACCAGTTTAGGGCAGGAAGCAAAAATAAATGCCACAGAGAAAGGAAACTTCAGGTGAAACACAGTTAGCTAAGCTAGAATTGAAGCTGGCACAGCTACTTGTGTGCAAAGCGTCATGAGGACTGAACAACAATCTGTCATGAGGTGCAGCATTTCCAGGGCCGTCCTGCGGCATTGCTTCAGCACGGACTCAGGAGATGCTGCACTGGTGTCTCTTGTAGCCTGCAATCCCTTTAGAAGTCTCCCAATCCAGTCCTGGCACCACTAAAGCTCACTTAACTTATGGAGCCTGAAAACTGCAGACTGATCTGGCACGGATGATGCCCAGGCTAGAATCAAACTCGAGACACAACACTGACACAGACAGCCACATACCAGCAAGAGACCAGGGGAGAATTTCAACCAATTCAGCTTGAATTCCTTCCGAGTGGGGGCACATCAAGGCCGGGGCAGTGCCGGTCATGAAGTGAGGGCAACCACACCCAGACCTGGCAGACCTCCGTAAGCTATCTTCAAACAACCATTTCTCTACCCTGCACTGAAGATCTTCATCCTCAGCTGCACGTAGCGTTCCCACTGCCACCCATCTGTGCTCCACAGCTGCTGAGGGAGCCGCGGCAGGAGACTTTTGCCATTCGTTTGCGGACGCTCCACGCAGAGCTGTCGCCAGACCAAAATACTGCATTTAACCACCACCAGCCAAACCAGGGTCTCACCTACATGTCACAAATGACCTGCACCTTTCGGAGGGGCAGAGCCAGCGTCCAAGCACCAATGCCCCAAAGATCTCCAAAGCTAGATGTGCGTTTTGCAGCCGCAACACATCTCTACTCAGCACTCTTGTATGAAAGTCCCCGTGGGGGGCTCCCAAGGCAGCACTGTGGGAGGCGCCAATTCCAATGGCTTGAGACGTGTCATTCCGCTGCCAGAAGAGCGGACCAAATCCTGGAGCAAGCCACTTGCTGAAATCAAGACAGACCGAGCCGGAGTAAAAGTGCTAAAACGGCAGATACTTGCGGCTCTTTACTTCAGTTAGGGAGCAGGCAGCTTATTGGCACAATGGGCCAGTCTGTGGGGCAAGAGACTTGCACTAGCAACGTCTCTGTGTCTCTTCAGCAACAGCTCACGAGTCCTACCCCCGTTGCTAACTTAGCATTTGACGCAGAGACCCTTGAACTCAACAGGCTTCCTGCCTTTGGATCAGGCTCATAAGGCTGGCATGACTCTCTAGTGCAGGGAGGTTTCTTTGGCTCTGAGATGGGAGCTGGAGAGACTCCCCACTTCAGGCGGTTCATGTCTGCAGGACGAGGCGGGGCTCCCTTAGGCAAACTAAGGTGGGCTCCCTCTGTGGAGAGCTGATTGGGACTGTGTGTTATGAAGCAGGTTTAAACGAATAAAAGAAAGTTCTTCTTCACACAGTGTGTAGTCAACCTGTGGAACTCCTTGCCAGAGGAGGCTGTGAAGGCTAGGACTATAACAGAGTTTAAAGAGAAGCTAGATAATTTCATGGAGGTTAGGTCCATAAAAGGCTATTAGCCAGGGGATAAAATGGAGTCACTGGCCTCTGTTTGTCAGAGGCTGGAGAGGGATGGCAGGAGACAAATCGCTTGATCATTGTCTTCGGTCCACCCTCTCTGGGGCACCTGGTGCTGGCCACTGTCGGCAGACAGGATACTGGGCTAGATGGACCTTTGGTCTGACCCAGTACGGCCGTTCTTATGTTCTTATGTACTGTACAGAGTGGCAATGGTAATTAAGATTGCCAGTCTCCTAGATGTGAGCACAGCCACCAGCCAGTCATACAATCCCACCGCAGGTGAGTGCATGTACTCTGACCTCTGTATGGCAATAGGGCTGCCAACTCCATTTTTGATTAAATATATCAACCCCAGTAACTTCATTGGGAGCTATGTCAACCTGTGGAACTCCTTGCCGGAGGAGGCTGTGAAGGCTAGGACTATAACAGGGTTTAAAAGAGAACTAGATACATTCATGGAGGTTAAGTCCATAAATGGCTATTAGCCAGTACAGATAAGGAATGGTGTCCCCAGCCTCTGTGTGTCAGAGGGTGGAGATGGGTGGCAGGAGAGAGATCGCTTGATCATTACTGTTCGATTCACTCCCCCTGGGGCTCCTGGCACTGGCCACTGTCGGCAGCCAGGGTACTGGACTGAATGGACCTTTAAGCTGGCCCAGTACGGCCGTTCTTGTGTTCTATGGACACTTGTAAGGTCTCAGGAGGTGCTCAGCACCTCACAGCACCAAGCCCTTAGGCCCAGATCTGCCAAGGCATGGAGATGCCTAACTGTTTGTTTCATTGGGATTTGGGCCCGGATCCTCCAAGGTATGGAAGTACCTTAGTTATTAAATGAGACGGCCCATTCCTCCCTGTTTAATTCACAACTAACTAGCAGGACCAGCCACCCAAACATAGAGAGGAAAAGGCGCCAATGTGATCGATTTTCATCAGAGTCAGGTGAACATGTGGTGGTCAGGACAGTGTAGCAGCACATGAGGGCTGATCCCTTTGTTTTGTTTAGAGCAACGGGGTTCAGTTCCCTACCACACTTCACCTGCCTGGATTTATTGCCAGGCTGTGCACGCTGGCTTCAAGCTCCAATTCTAAGTGACACCGGATCCTTCAGAGTCTGGGAGATTCAGAAATTGGCAAAGCTGGCATTTCCCAGCATGGTGTTTTCTTTTGCATCATGTTTCACCCGGGAAGGTAAGGAAATGGAACGAACAAATAGAAACCTGTCTAGTAACCAGCGTGGAAAGAGTCAAGGATGTGGACAAATGCTCCACGTTATCCCCTACGTTAGCGATGGAGTAATCACCATCTAGTGGCCCACACAGGCATTTCACTCTTCTAGTCTCCGTGCTTGCTTTCCTCTCGCCCTCCCCGACAGGCTCGTTTGCTCTTTCTAACGGGGAACGACCCCTACCCCGTCATGGAAAGGGGCTCGGGTTGAGATGCACAGCATTCACAAGCAGAACACACTGCCACAGCCAAGCAGAACCTTCTCCAGTATCTAAAAGATCTCACCAGTGATCAAAAGCTCCTAGGGTTTTCACCAGAATGCATCACTCTCAGCGCTGCATAATACTCTCTCACTACACTGAGAGCAACACTTTGCTCCATTCCTTGAGCTACCACCAGGCGCCAGATGTAGTCAGGGTGTTCCCACTTTCTGGATAACCCTCCATTGCTCTCACGGGGTTATGCGTGAGCAAGAGAGTTCTGTGGTTCCACAGAGAAATGAAGGATGTTAGCAATTACCCTATTCTTGAACTGACAGCAATCATTTAATTTCTACATCACACAGAGGACCACAAAGACACATACTGCAACTGTGACTGTATAAAAGGCAGCAGCAAGAAACTGCTACTTGGCAAACAAACATAGTAAGTCAGCACCTCTAGGTGCCATATTCCCATATGTAAAGAACAAGAGTGGAAATATAAGATCTTCCTAGAAACAGAGCCAGATTTTTCAGAACTACATAACTGATTTGCACATGCAATTATCTAAATTGCATACACAAATTAGGCATTTGTGCAAATGATCAGTTTGATGACAGACTGGCCATTTAGATGTGCAAAATCCCACTTTGCATGCACAATCACACTCATTCTGCACCCAAATTAACTGAAGAAATCTGAAAACCTTGGTCTTATTTGCAAACTCTGCTATAAAGGTAATATTGGCTGCATCTCCACACCCCACTTTGTACCCTATAAGCAGCATCTTTTAATTTTTTTTAAACTCAAACTCCTTCATGATTGCTGTGCACTTACTGAAACAGGATTTGATCGGATACCCACTCTCCAACCTTAGTCAGAACGTGAGTACTACGTGTTTGATGAGTTCCTGCAAGAAAGTGTCTACTGCCAGAAAGCGTACATACAGAAAGTTTGGCAGTTCACAATCATACCTGCTCTGGTTTGATGGGTTCAGTTGTCGTGAAGATGTCAGAATAATGTTGTCTCTCGAAGACTCGATCCAACACTTCTAACTGCTGCTGGGTGAAGAGATCTCCTCGCATCTGTTTCCGAAGGAAATCTCTACCCGGGAGGGAATGGCCATTTGGTACTGGAGATTCCTGAATACCTTTCAAAGATGACAAAACACACAGAAGAATAAATAGCTATTACGGTGACAGCCACAACACAGAGGCCTCTCACTGGGCCCCTCTGTCACTTGATCACTTGTGCCAGCGTGTTCAAAAGACAAAGGGGAAAGTGCTCCAGGCTGGTGTTCCTAGCCCCTAAGACACACACACACACACACTCTCTCTCTCTCTCTCTCTACATATTAGCTGCTGCTTCTCCCTGCAGAATGGAAGCGTCCCTGCTGTGCTGCAAGCCCCGATTTGTAAAGGGGGAATTTCCCTGCAACACTAAACATTGCCATCTAGTCCTCAGCAGGGGAGGGCAGAGCGAAAAGAGCTTTGTTTGCAGCCCACCAGCCAGTCCCAGCACCGGTCAGAGACTCGACCACTGACCTACAGCGGCTCTCTGAGATGTTCTGGCACACACCAGTAGGCACCATAACTATATCCCAGAGCTGTGGTGGGTAACCTCAGCCGGTGGGCCACATGCAGCCTATTGGCGTCTAGGAGCAGCCCACAAGACATTTTGCTTACTCTTGCCCAAGCACAGGGTTGCCAGATTCTGCTAGTTTTTGTCCACATAGTTTTTTCCCAACTGGGATTACTAAAGCAGCACACAGGTAAAGCCAGGGCACATGGAGTGAGGTGCATGCTGATTACACATAACATTGAGGATGAACCATGTGCTCCCTCTGCAGCCAATCACAGCACTGCTCCGGTTCAATCGGCACACACACACCCCTGGCCCAAATTCTAGGCATGCAGCGCAGGGAGCAAAACTACCCTCTCCCGGGAGACCATCTGGGTTTCAACAATCTTGTGGCCCATTGGGATGAAGGAGGCCGCTCATGCAGCTCTCTCACTAGCCTAGGTTGCCCATCTCTCTCCTGGAGGGGCTGGCCTGCTGGAGTATCTATGAGCTCTCTGGTTCCTGGTGCAGAATGCAGCATTGCTTGTAATGGATACTTGTATTAGTTGTAAGATGTTAGAAAAGCAGCGGGATGGTTAGCTCCTGAAGATCAGTAGGGCTACGTCTACACTGGCCCCAAATTCCGGAAAAGGGATGCAAAGCAGGTAAGTCAGCGTAGGGAAATCCGCGGGGGATTTAAATATCCCCCGCGGATTTAAATAAACATGGCCGCCGCTTTTTTTCCGGCTGGGGGAAAAGCCGGAAAAAAGCGTCTAGACTGGCGCGATCCTCCGGAATAAAGCCCTTCAGGTAGGAATAAGAGATCCTCCAGAAAAGGGCTTTATTCCGGAGGATCGCGCCAGTCTAGACGCTTTTTTCCGGCTTTTCCCCCAGCCGGAAAAAAAGCGGCGGCCATGTTTATTTAAATCCGCGGGGGATTTAAATATCCCCCGCGGATTTCCCTACGCTGACTTACCTGCTTTGCATCCCTTTTCCGGAATTTGGGGCCAGTGTAGACGTAGCCTAGGTGTTTTCTAGGCCGATTCATTTGCCAGAGACTAGCAACATTGCTCAGCAGTTTTCCCAACCTCAGAGCTTCAAAACCAAAAGACAGGCCCCCTGGCATCATGAGATTGGTTAACAGTGACAAGATTTTCAGAAGATAAAAAGCAACCCAGAATTTTTGTAATTGCCTTTTGACGTCTGAGCCTCTAAGGTGCACTTGGTAGAGTTTTCACGCCTTTCCCTGCAATCATCGGGTATGTCTAGACTGCATCCCTCTGTCGGCAGGGGATGCAGATTAGGCAGGTCGACATTGCAAGTGAGGCAGGGATTTAAATATCCCGTGCCTAATTTGCATAAAAATGGCCACCGCATTTTGCCAACTCAGCTCTTTGTCAGCAAAAAGTGGCAGTCAAGAGGGGGATCTGTTGAGAAAGAAAGCCTTTTTCCACAGATGCTGTAAACCTCCTTGCAGGAGGCATAAGGGATCTGTCGAAAAAGGCTTTCTTTCTCGACAGATCCCCCTCTAGACTGCAGCTTTTTGCCGACAACGTGCTGAGTCAGCAAAATGTGGTGGCCATTTTTATGCAAATTAGGCACTGAATATTTAAATCCCTGCCTCATTTGCAATGTTGACCTGCCTAATCTGCATCCCCGTGCCAACAGAGGGATGCAGTCTAGACATACCCATCATGGCTACACACATGCTTTTATTAAACAAAAGCTGAGATTCTACCACAGTCACATGGCTCCAGGAGTTTTAAATAAAAACACCAGATACCACATGACTTGCAATGAATTCTAAGAGCCAGCAACACTGCACTAGCCACCAATGAAGAGCACATTTTAAAGACAAGGGCTGGCCTTAAAGACAGTTTTGAGCTGTATAATTCAAATGTCCCACAAGTGATACAGTTTTATTTACAGTTAAGATGGCTTCCATCATGAATGATTTGTAGATGTCCAGAAGTTTTGACAATTGTTAATACAGGTTCTCCAGCGTTTAAACTTGCAGATGGCAAGTATCTAAAGAAATCCACGCTACGAACACTCTTCTTTTAGGGTTTGTAGTGGAATTTGCCCCTTGCCCGAAAAAGATAAGGAACTAGCCTAACAGCAGTTAGGGGCCCACTAGCCTGTCGAGCAAGAATGAAGCTGTATTTCACATTTTCTAACTTGTGACAGGCACAAGCAGGCAGAAATCAGCAACATAGCTATGAGAAAGTAAAACCGCACATAGGCATAAGATAAGAGTACCCCTCCCCAACTACTGGAATGCCAATCGTGAACGTTAGAAATAATGTATTGCTGTGCTTTAACCAATGAAATGTAAAAGCCAATCAATCTGTTATTCATGTATCCGATAAAAGGCTATGCACAGAGCGGCACGGGGTTTTTTGCTATAAAGCTCGAGTGGACGACCATCAGCACTGATTAATAAAAGTCTGGAAAATCCTCCTTCGGGCATCCGTGTCATTCTGTTACACCAGTTTGAGTCCGGTACGGTTACAGGTTCAAACCCGCCCCTTTGAAATTCATACCCAAATCCCACTGACTCACAGAAGTGGAGGGTTAGTTCTTTATGTATAGCTGTCAAGATCTGCAAAAGCAATTTTGTATGCCCGACCTGAAACAATTTAAAGCCCCCTTCACTTCCACAAAGTTCTGCACACTAACACTGAGAAAAAATCAGGGCCCTTTAAGGTGAATCAAATTGCACCCCCAAAATGGAGATACTTAAAATCGCTAATCACTTTGGAAAGCTTTGGCCAGCATCCTTAATATACTGGTGCCACAACATGTGTGGTGTCTGCTAAGAAGACAAACCCAGAAAGAGAAAGAGAAATCATTCTGCTTTATAGCCAAGGATTCAAGTCAGAACCGCTTTTTAGTTACCAGTTTAGACACAATCATTCCAGTTTAAAAATCAGGAATATTACTGTAGGTTTATTTAACAGCTTTAGGGTCAATTTTTTAATCTGTCGGGGGAAATTTGAACGTACCCTTTGAACAGAATGTCTAGGCATGCATACAGGAATGTGAAAAGGTACAAAGGTTTATAGGAGAGCAGTGTATCTTTAAATCTTTTTTCTATTCCAAATCAAATAATATCTAATAGACCTAGTGCTGGGTTTAGTCAACCATGGCTTATAAAATTAAAATTCTGGTTGCTAGCTGCATGGCAGCAAAAGGCCAGGGAGCCCCTGTCTTCAGAGCATGGAAATACCAGCTTTAAATTTCAGGTTAAACCAATGTTATTCACAATTTGGCTTTGAAGTTAGAGCTTTATACAATTTCAGTCTAGGAGGGGTGATGAAAGGGAGCAAAATAATCTAAGATGTAAAATGACCTGGAAAATGTTCCGTGTGTGTCTGACGGTTCCTGCATTGTTTATATAGCAGAAGAGTGGCAGTATAATTAGATTTGATTTTGTTTAAATATGGTGCAATGGTTTTGTGTTTTATTAGCAACAATTGCAACATCACATTCCTGCACTAAGTACATCCACTGATTTTTTTTTGGGGGGGGGGGGCATATCTGAAGAAAAATAGAATTCGTTTGATTTTGGCTCAGGCCGTCATTTGGTTCCATCACAGGAACCCACTGATTGTCTGGGTTACCAAAAAGGAACGCTGGGAACTGTGGGTAAGTAGTTAGTACAAAGTCCAGTCAGAATCAGGGCCCCCCAGGCTGTGTGAAGAGCCAGGATGACGGACACTCAGAGACAAGAGCCATACGGAGGTTAGGGGACAGGGCTCTGATTAGCTATAGGAACAGGTATTTCAGAATTGTATCTGTCACACAGACAAGTCACTTGCCCCTCCCTGCCACTTGCCCCACTCAACATTAGTTGGAGGACCCCCACACGCCTCCCCACGAGGAGCGCATTGGAAGACAAGGGGCGGTGCAAGAAGGACGGTGTGGAAGAAAGCACGGAGGTGCCTGCGAGAGGAGGCAGGCAGGTATCAGCAAGGAAGCTGCCAGGAGCACAGGGCTGCAGCATACGAGTGGATGACTAAGGACAGGCAAAACTCTCAAGGCCCTTGCAAGTCAGGATCAGAGCTTGATGTGGTGACGAAAGGGGAGCCAGTGTAGGGGTTCAGTACAGGCTGTGATATAGGCAGGCCGACAAACAAGGGGAAAGGGGCTTAGCAGGTGCCTTCTCTATGGCCCATTACGCACACCCTCCATTGCCCCCTTTTTCTGGAATTGCACTAGGTGGCCGTTTTCCTTTCTGACCAGACCTTTCAGATAGGATGAGCTGACAGAGCCACACTTAGCTTTTAAGCTCCCTAGGGCAGGGACCAGCAGTGGGGCTGGAGCTCTACCTCCACACAACGACAACAATAAATAAATAGCCGTACTTTGTGCTCACTGGAAAGGAGGACAGCTCCAGGCCCAACGTGGAGCCCTCCCCGGTACCGCTTGGTTTCGTGTTAGCTGAATGACGTACAATACATGGTACACAGTCAGGGTAGAGTGACAGGTGAGAAAGAAGCTGGGACTAATTCCGTTTCAATTACTTTGGGCCATTAACGACTCCCCAACAGGGTTCCCAAGAGGAGTGATTTTGGCTCCAGTGTCCTG